ACCTCAGTGAAAACGAGGGCCGCTTGTTCTCTCCTTTCTGGATTTCACGCAGAAACACACACTAGACTCAAATTAAAAGAAACACCTTCAAGCATTATTCTCATCGTTGATGGATTGCCGTTTCTCCTCCTCCTTTCCCTCTTGCTGCTCTCTGCTTCTTCTAATTACTAGTCGTTTTATAATGCTCATCTATGGCGGCGCTCTTCTCTTGCCCGCTTTTTTCTTCTTACCCGCCATTCCCCCCCAGACGCAAGCATTATTCCTCATCCTCCCCTTTTACTCTGCCTTCGCCTGCCCTGAAATTTGAAATGTCGCGTCTAGTTCGAGCAAACTTGGGGCCAGAATTAGGTGCGGCGGAGACCAGCAGCAAAGGTGCTGCCATCATCTGGTACAAGCATGATCTTCGAATTGACGATCACCCTGCCCTTGTCGCCGCCTCCCACCACCATCCCATGCTTCTCCCTCTGTACATTTTTGATCATCGCATTCTCTCGCGTATGCTATTCTCTCCATTCGCTCAACACACACACACACACACAAAATATCACAACTATAACTTTTTTTCTAGTATGAAGTACTGTGTATTTGTTGCCGAGATTTTTCCTATTAATCGGATATGTTGAAGAATTAAGTTCTGCATTTTCTACTTAATTTGACGAATGCCTTTACTCGTGGAATGGAACTTTTTTGTGAATGTTAAATGCTACTTGATCTTGATTGTCGGCATGATTGGTCAGGTTTTTCTGATGAAATGCTCCAACTCCTCCTTTTCGCTTTGGAGGATTTAAGGAAGTCTCTCAAGGGTCAAGGGTCTAACTTGATGATCAGGTTTGGGAATGCTGAGACTGTCATTCAACATCTTGCCAGAGAGGTTTCTCCACTTTGAATTCGCTTTATTGTATCTGACATTTATCGGGCCAGGACAACCTCACGCTACTCTTCCAACTCATTTTGTTTCCTTCATTCATCATGCGGACTGGAACAGGTCAAGGCCACGAGCATATATGCAGAAGAAGAGGTAGAGTATGAGTTGCGTAGAATGCTGGATGCAGTTAAGGAGGCTCTGGCTTTAGCTACTGTATCTTCTGCTGAAGCGTACCCTAGGATGACTATGTGGAGAACACCATTTTATGGTATGAAGGTAAAACATGCTTTTCTTGGTTTTGAACGTTTCGTTTTCCAGATATGAGTCCTCAGTGCTTGGTCTTTTGTGTTAATTAACTGTAGAACTTGGAGGATATGCCAGAATCGTACGATGGCTTTAAAAAGTTGAAGCTGCCTGTTGTTTCTCCTGTTTTGCCAACTAAATTGCCCAGTCTGGAGATGGATTTAAGTTGGGGTATGTCTTTACAAACCAGAACTTTTAATTTTTTATTCTCTTTTCCTGTTGCCAGAAATTCAAGAACTCTGCAATGCCATTATTGTCTTGACTCTACTATCGAAAATCATGGTGCCTTTGTGAACCAGGCGATCTACCAACGTTGTATGATTTGAAGAAATTTGTGATTGAGGTTGGGACATCAAGGAATAAGTTGACATCAATTATGAGTACGAGTGAGCTTGAGATAGACCAGGTTGTGACGCAAGGAAAAATTGGAGGTGTCAATGGAGCAGCTTTGATGGAAAGCAATCGAGATATGGGAAGTAGCAACTTAACTGAAAGGAAAAGATCAGAAAGATCAGCATTTGTGACTCAACAAAAGAACTCAGTTGGAGGTGGGACGGGTAACGTGCTTAATGCTCTAGCTGCATATTTGCGGTATCTGGAGGGTACTGCCCGTGGCGAATGGCAGGAGTACGTATTGGCAACCTTGGTGTGAGGATGTTTGGACAAAATTTTTTCACTATCTAATTCTATTTTAGACTGTTAGTCTTTGTCTTTATAAATTTGTTGGTCGGCTACTGAAAGTGAGCCATTTCTTTGAGGTCCTTGAATGGTAGGACAGTAAAACCAGCTATATTCTGTTGACTGCATATGGCTTAGTTCCCTCATTGATAGTAACATGTAGCTGTACACCACAGTCACTTCTGTGTGTCTCTCTGTTGCCATTTTCTGGGCAACAACTGAATCTTTCAGCGTTGTCTATTGAGCAGGAACTTTCAGAAGTAAAACTTGTATTATGCAGCTCATCTCATTCGGTGAAAAAATACAAACTCGAAAATCCTGATTTCAGGATTAGACCCTTTTGTACTTTTTTGTTCAGTTAATATGTGGCTTACTTTTCTATTCAGGTAATGTGTGGCTTACATCTTAGATTTTTTTCTATTCTCGTTGCAGGGTACATGAAAGACTGCGTCAGGCAGAAAGTAGAGGAGGAGCCTCATTTGGTGCCCTTTTTGGATCTGCTCTTCTACTTGGAATCATTTCCAGAAGAAGAGTGTATCATGAGGCAATTAAGTACGAGAAAGAACGAAGTGGTGGGTTTTTATCTCCTTTTGGATATTCAGCAATCACTGTAGCTGCAGCAGTCGATACTGTCTGCTCAATGGAGGTAGTTTCTACACTTCCAGCTATTTTTTAACATGATTCTCTGTGGCAAACTAGCTTGACTTTTGTATAACTACTTTTGAAAGGCTTATCCTAGTTATTGGTTTCCTTTGAACTTATTTTAAGATTTCCCTGATTCTTGTGTCAGTGGTATTGGCTTTTGGCTTTAAGAAGTCAAATAATTGAGCGAGGAACTTACTCAGTTAGGATATGGAGATGGAATGGCTATTTAATCCATGTGAGTGTTTTCAACTCCTTTAACTACCTGGCAATTTTTGACATGGATTTATTTTGGTTGTGTAATTCTAAATTTAATCTTAATCTTGGCTGCTATGATGATTTCCTGTCCTCAGTATACTGTTTCCGGCAATGAAGGTCCTGCTGTTCTCCTAGTACATGGTTTTGGTGCTTTTTTCGAACATTTCCGTTACAATATAAGTCATATAGCTGACAGTGGGAATCGAGTTTGGGCAGTCACACTTCTAGGGTTTGGTAAATCAGAAAAACCAAATATTGTTTACACTGAAGTCATGTGGGCCAAACTGGTTAGAGATTTCATAATTCAAGTTGTTGGGGAACCAGTGCACCTTGTTGGGAACTCAATTGGTGGTATGTTCCTAAACCCTACAAAAAAGTAGGAAAAAGGTTTGGAAATATGAAAGAAAAACTGATCTACCTAACTTAGATCTATGCTGAAAAAATGCATATGTATCTTATCTATTTTAATTCCCCGTACTGATTCCCTTTTTTCTACTGCCAGGCTACTTTGTTGCTATTGTTGCTGGGCTTTGGCCTGCTTTAGCCAAGTCTGTGATCCTCATAAACAGTGCCGGCAATGTTGTTACTGAATATTCTGCGATCCATTTGTCTGAAGTAAGAACAGTAAGATAATTTTATAAGTAGTTGGTGGGCAACACTACTTTTCTTGCTTGCGCACTGCCCTGCACCTTCATTTCAATGCAGCACAAGAAGAGGAGAAAAGGGAAAGGAAAGAAGAAACTTTCTAGCACCTTTTTAATGTTTAGATTAGCAATGGTTGTCTAAGCTTGCCATCAGCTATCAATTTCTTGATGCACACCCACTTCGATCAACATTTCAGGATAGGCAAACTCCTGGTGCAGCATGGTTGGGTGCTAGACTCCTTTTGCTCTACTTGAGGTTCAACATTAGGAACATAGTGAAGAGCTTTTACCCATCTGTATGACTCGCTTTACCTTTGTTTCCTACTTTTTCTATTGCTATTATCATCTAATATTTGCTTCTTAAAATTATGTGGTGCAGAAAATGGATCAAGCAGATGACTGGCTTATTGATGAGATGTTGAGAACTGTATCCTTTATGAGGCAGTTCAAACATCTTTTCCATGCTTTTTGTTTAAGCCTTAAGTATCAATAAATTTATGTGTTATGCTTTTTCCTTTCAGAAAACATGCTTAACTATACAACTGCTATGACCTTAATAAAAAAATTGTAGTCGCATGACCCTGGAGTATTGGTGGTTTTGGAATGCATTTTCAGCTTTGATCTTTCAGTTCCTCTCAATTATCTATTGGAACGATTTGAAAGGAAGGTTCTTGCAATACAGGTTTATGTGCTATAGATTGGATAAAGGGTTTTTACTTTGTCATGTTTCCTTTGTCTAGTGCTAATGTTTATGTTTCATGATTATGTTCTTTAGGGCATGAGAGATCCACTTTCTGATTCCAGGGCTAAGCTAGCTTGTCTTAGAGAGCATTGCAAAGGGATTGTTACTAAAGAACTGGATGGCGGTAATTTTGATGCAACCTTGTGTTCCTATGGCTTGATCTTCGCTTACATTGATGTTATAAAGCATCACATATTAACTGAAAACAATTTCCTTGCTGCTATTAATGCCCAGGTCATTGCCCCCATGATGAACTTCCAGCAGTAGTCAATCCCGTTATCCAGGAGTGGGTAATGACAGTTGAACGCGAGTATACCCCTGTTGGGCTAACACGGTAGAAAATTTTACTAGATGGAAAGAACCCAGTCATGGAGGCTGATAATCACCGCTTCATGAGATTTTATAACCTCGTTTAACTGTTCTCTGCCCATGTTTGTATAACGAACTGCAGTTGGAATCCTGTATACCGAGTGCATTGTGTACTACGAATTCGCGCTGGAATCTGCGAATTGACTTGAATGATTAGCTTTGAGATTACCCCAACTATTGGAATTTTCATCTCGAAAGTGTTGTCAGTGGATCTGTGGGGATAAATGCTTTGTTTAAAGAATTGGATGGTTGGCTATAAGATGTCACGTGAAAGAAAATAGCAAATTAGACCAGCAACTATGTTTGGATTGCTATTTTAGGATTTTTTTTTTTTAAATGTACTGTAATGATTTAATGTATATAAAATAAAAAAATAATTAAAAAGTATATTCACAAAAAACGTAAATTATTTGTTTGGCAGATAATCACGATGCAAACATGGCAACAGCAAAATAGCTATTCCATCTCTCCACTTTTTCAATGCGGACGGGAGAAAAATGCTGCCAATGCCGGTTTTTCTTATTTTAATGTCTAAATAAGAGATTGATAAAAGTACATGCATACAGTCGCCAAGACAATCGAAAGGCGTCAAGACGATACAACAGCTCTATACCAATCGAGGCCCTATTTTTCAATTGTTTTGACGCTCGCGGAATACACCTATAAGTGGTGGTAATCTTGATGCGTCAACTTTCTCCGTGACTTGGAATGTCAAGATGACAGAGTAGCAGCAGCCACTTGTTCACTCTAGCGGCAGATGGTTTCGTACATAATACACCTACAAATGTGTTTTCTTGCTTTCTAACTCCTATTCTTGTACAGTCACCACCTCAGGTTGCTCTTGCTAATACTACTAATTCTTTAGCTCCATTTCATGACTCAGGCTTGTAATGTCAGGAACTATACCGCCATAACGAGAATTTAAGATACGTTTTCCCACAAGATCATTTAATATATCACCAGGATCCTTGGCTCCTCCGTGCTGCAAGAACTTGTGCCTGATAGCAGATCCAGCAGCTAATGAGAGCGGATCCTCTTCACAAATCTTTTGCCATATTGTTGCAGCAAAGCATTTGGCATACAAGTAGCTGTAATATCCTACACAGAGTTGGGAAGCAAACATCTCATTACCATCACAGAAACGGAATAGCAGTGGAAATAGCATCAGAAGAAATGTGAATGCGTATTATTTGGTTATTATTGGTACCAAAATATGAAAGAACTCTCACGTAAAACAAGCAAATTGCAAAAGACACGTCCTACTCATTTCAAGATGGCATTAGTTTTTGATGATTAAGTATAAGATAGATAAGACAAATAATCTAGCAACTCTTCATTGTGTTCGATACCTGCCCCATATGATGCAAGATGACCAAATCGGGTGTGCCAATGTGTGCCATCAACATGCTTCCAACTGGTATGTTGTCTTTTTAATTCTGCTACAAGTGAAGCAGTATCCCTCATGGAGGATGCCTCTTCCCCAAACAACTTTTGGTCAATTAAAGCATAAAATATCTGACGAAAGACGAATACATCAGTCAATCTTTATGCACCACCCACCACCCGGGGAAGTAAAATTCAATATGTTTCAACCATTAAACTACAAACCTGTCGCTGCAACTCAGTACCAGAAAACATATCTTTGGCTCCCCTCATGGATTTCACCAAATCTTCAGGTATTACATCACCGGTAGAATAATGCCTAGCAAATGTCTTCAGGATCCGAAAATCCCAAGCATAGTACCTAATTTGAAAACCAACTAAAAGGATGACTGACTTTTATGAGATGACTTTGACCTATATCACCTAAAGTTGTTTACCTATAATTTAACATCAATGTCCGTGATGATATTGGTGGACAACATAAACAAGAAGTAATTATCCTCAAAGTTTTCATTATCAGCGCCATCACAATCCAACAAACCAAAAAATGGCAGCATTAATGTAGAAAGCACAAAAAAAAAAGGATGATAGAATGTAATGCATTAAGTGAGAATTGCCTATAAGAATTTAGCAGATAATCCCCAACTCTAGCAGTTAGGCAAGAATAAATGAGAATTTCACTTACTGAAAGAGATTGGATGGTGTCTCAGCAAAATCGATAACAACTCTGGTCCCTGAAAAATGTTGGTAATCCTGCATACCAGATCATCAAGGTTCAAGGGCAAACAATCACTTCAAATAAGAAAAACAAAGTAAAAACTAGTCAACTACCATCCCATTCATCAGATACCGTTCTGGAAAGCAATGAATGAAGTGCATGTCCAAACTCATGGAAAAGCGTTTCTACTTCCCAGTGGTTGAGTAAAGATGCTGGTTTAGAGCCCAAGAAGTTGCAGACTAGGGCTACAATCTGCAGGTTATCAAGAAGAAGTCTGTTATATCCAGTATAAACATCATATGCACAGATCTATTTCTTGCTGCAGTCATAAGATATTTGCTAATATGTGTTTCCCAGGCACATACAAAGAATGCCAAGCATCAGTGTGATCACATTACCATATTTGCTTTCATCATCTGTATACTCGAGTTCACACATAAAAATATTCAGAGCAACTAAAGAAGGTTGTATGTAGCATAGCACAGCTAAAAAATTACCAAAAATTCATATGAATGTCATGCATCACCAGGACCTCAACTTAACCTCTGCATGACTATCCTGACACTGCCTGTACATCGATTGACATGACTCATGTTGCGTAAGTCCAGGATTCTGACCAGGAAAAAGCCAAGTAAAGTCTAATTGGCATAAATAGTCAAAAACCAAGTTTTACAGACTATGGAAGAACATCTGAAACTGTTAAACTTCCCATGGGGGAAACTTCTACTCAGCATTTAAGCAAACACAAAGTTTCCTGCCTTTGAGACCTTTGTGCTAATAAACAATCTATACCCAAGAATGGCGACCCCCACCATTGAATTCAAGATATGAGTTTGAAAATTTGATTTCATTCAGTGGTCAAGGGCCTTGTTTCCTTGTATCAGAATGAAATTTGCTAAAGGTGATCAGCATTTCAAGCACAGAACTCAATACCACAATTTCTAAAGCATAATATCATATATTCCAGGAGAAGATGTAGAATGATCAACATTTCGCATCCAGTGATCATAAGATACCACAGATTATAAATGTGTGCCATCATAATTGTAGAATGAGAATAAAGAAGAAAGAACCTTCACATACAGGAAGTTGATAATCTGTTTCAGATAATCGACGTCCCCCTTTGATAGCAAAATGAGCACAAACAGGATGCTTATTCTTTCTCGATTTCAAATCAAGGTACAAGTACCCTAAGTCACCCTGCAGTTTAAAAGACTATGACTCGTTTAAAGGATGTAAGCATTAAGAAGTCACAGAAGCATTCATGATCAATTGAAAAAGCTGTAGAAACTGATTGGGATATGTGCTTTGTAAAGGTCAATTCAATAAACTATTATTGGCTATCATATGGCACCTGAGCATGACCACTGGTTTCTAGGAAAACCAACATATTCATTGATGCTCAACCAGATCAGCTCAGATGACTATGAGAGACTACATTATTTGCTGATTACTACATACTCCAGTTTTCCAAGTAGCAATGCTCATGGATTATGATTATAATACGAGACTGCACAAAAATTTTCCAGACTTTGCATTTGGTAAAATTAAACCTCCCTGACACCATCATCTCCATTTGTCAATTAATTGCAAGAGGTCTTCGTGGAGGGCACAAAAGTTATCAATAAGGGAAAACACTAACTTTAGGCATGACATATCACCGAAATCAGATTTTCATCTATGCTCATGAATAATCATGTAATTTACCAAAACAAAATAAAGACATGCAAGCAAAATGCATATTCATTAGATGCTCAGCATGGAAGCATATAAGAAAAGAGATTTAAATTGGACAAAAGATACCCATATTTGACCTCATCTGGGTGGTGTAGGGCTACTTTAATGACGTCCGGGTGCCATGATTCACCAGGGGCAAGAGGAATATGGTGAAATGTCACACCAAACAACGACTCAGCAAGAACTTTCAAGCCCTCAAGACATTGGGATAAAGGAAAAAATGATGCAACAACCTGCTTAATGGATAGAGCCGATCATATAATTTAAATAAAGAGCCTACTATTTACAATTTGAAGAGAATAAGGTAATTGAACAAATATTTAAGCAAACACAACAAAGTATCTATATAGCAACATATGGGACTGCAGAAATCACACATAGCAACAAGTGGAATAGCTTTAGCAATTAAAGCCATCCTATTGTCAACCATCTTACATGCACAAAGGCATTTGACGATGACTTTTGCTCTATTTATTTCTTATATTATGCAATTGCTAAAAATGTAGGCAATGCAAACAACAAATAATAAGCAGCATTCCAGCTACTGGGCAAAAGTTACCAACAATTTACAATAAAGATATTAGTTGGTGCCAATGCACCCACCTGTGCATCCTTACAAGGATTGGAAGACTTAAATATGCAAAGTGGATAGTTCATTTATTAAATTTACACCATCATTTTATAATTAGGTTTTCTTAATGTTGACTAAAGTTTTTGAATGACTAAAAGTGGAAGTCCTTAATCTACTATTAGCAGCTAAAGGAATAAGTCAAATTTCCCTTCTCAGTACCAGGATAAGGTACAAACAGAAACCCAGTCCTTTGCTACTAATAAAAGTCTGGATGCGAGCAGTCTCAACCAATCATCTAAATAGTTGTTCTAAGCCTCCCTTATTTGTTCCAAATCTACATTAAGGCAAATCAATTTCTTCCCTTCTCACCTATTGACTTAATTGCATTTAAGTCCCCATTAAGTTTTGCAAGTTTTTAAACTAAAATAACCAGTGCTGAAATGTCGTGGTTCCAAAACCAATCTACTGAGTCATGATCAAGCAAAACAAAACAGAATAACAACTTGCTTGGGGGCAGGTAGGCTTTGTATGTTGAGTTTCCATGAATCCTATCCCACTGTTCAAGTATAAAGGCAAAAGCTAAACATATGCACCAGTATTAATAATTGCTCATTCATGGTTTAACAGTATAAACAGTATCAAAATACATAGACAATAAGAAGCTAGCCTATAGTAGGAACGGAATATAAAACACATCTATTACTGGAGGATAATTATAACAAACTACAATGCATGCAGGTTTTGCAGAATATACCGAGGAATCTAAATCATAAGCTGCAGACTTCATTATAGCGGTAAAGTATGTTTCATCCCATGGCTCCAAGTCTCCATAGAGCTGGCCACTTCTCTCTCTCTTGAAATTCCAAATTGTCTTAAACTCCTGCAATGAAAATTTACTCAGTTATCAACAAAATTAAACTTGCTTCAAGGAAAATGGAATTTGTTGTGATCGTTGAGTTTTACTAAATACTGTACCTCATCCGCCCTAGGTCTAACTATTTCGCTCATTTCAAGCAAAAATGATAATACAACATCAGGTGATGAAGCCATACTTGAGTGTACAGCAAGATCTGCATAGGAACTATGACCCATAATCTGCATGTGCATCCAAAATAAGGCATTGCTTATGATGTCAAATTTCTGCAGAGACTTCTTCCAGGAAAGACAAAAATTAAAGGTGTAGAAGACCAATTCTTACTTAAACATGCAAGTTAACCTTCTAATAGTATCCTTTAAAAAAGAATAGAAAAGAAAGGACATAAAATCGATATTCAATTTCTCAAAGTTGAGTTTGATCACGTTATCTGACTGAAATCAGATCAGAGAAAGTAGTGTTAATGGCATACAAATCTAACATTTATTATCAGACATTTGGGTAAAGAGGCAAAACTAGGAAGTATGATGGAATAAATGCCATAAAATTCCCTTCAGGTTCTTGAATTAAAAAATTGCGCTGAAAGAAGGAAAGCACCAAGAAAAGAGAAAGTAGTCATTTTAGGCAAGAAAAATGGCATACAAAGAAAGTGTGTTAGTTCATTGGAGATGGGTATTGCAAAAGACATTTGCAATGAAATATACACCTCTACTTCCTGTGGCATCTGGAGGACTATTTGCTCAGGTTTGATATAGAAATATGGCAGCTATCGACAAGAAAAGCTGCTCACATAATGTGACAGTTCATTCGACTCACAAGCTGTTCACATAATGCAACAGTTCATTCGACTCACAATATACAGAACCTCATTAAAGTTAAACATCAGACTTCACATGGAGAAACTCGGAAATAAAATCACGCAGACCAACTTTTGGATGGGCGATTAGACCGACAGATTAGAGTAGATTTCGTCCAATGGAAAGGAAGTGAAGTGAATAAGATTAACCTGAGCAAACTCATGACGAGCTGCAATAAGCTTATCGAGCACACCAAGATTTCCAAGCGGGGCAGAGTTTCCTTGTATATAAGCTGTTTTCCTAATCTGAACAAGAAGATATTATGAGTCTGAATATGAGATTCAAAGTTTTCAGAAAATTTAGCACTTCATTCAAGAAGGAAGATGTTCTTTGAAAGAAGGAAACAGGACACAGACAAAAGTTTTGGAAACCAGGGCTGTACAATATATAGTTTAATACAAGCTTTATCATCTAAGTTCATTGATATGTAATTTGTTCCTACCTCAGCATCTGATACCCATTGCAGAATAGAGGAGAGAGTATTTGGATCAGTTGGTAATCGAAAGCCCTTCTCTTTCATGTTTGTCATAGACCATGCTGATCCCCCAAATGCACCTGATGTAGTCCGATAGATAGGCCTAGCAAGATGGTGTAACTTTTTTGGGATGTGTGATGCTGGAAAGATATCCATGTGACCTGGATCATTGATAATATTTTCATTGAACCTGATAGAAACAAGAAATACATAGATAATGTCTCGCAATCAAATAAAGGGCACCATGCGTCACTGATGCTGAAAACTAATTGCAAGATGCAAAGAAGGAATGGAAGCGCAATCAAGTACTTGGTGCATAGACTCAGATTGTGATATCTTTGATTCAAAGTGATAATAGAAAACAACTAAACATCAGGATTCAGTGTACAGTTTTTCCAATATTAGCCCCAATTTCTGGCCAAGGAACTCAGCCTAATCAATATCCTACCTTGTAAGAGTAACATCTCCGCACATTCAGCTTCTGAACTCTTCAAAATAGGATCTCATTGTCATTGTCAAATAATCCAGAACCATTTTTAGGAAATGACCAAAGTTAAACAGAATAAATCAAATAGTTTCCACAATGACATGCAAGGCAAGAGATTTAGTGCTTCAATCTTCATATAGAGCAGAAATTAGAAGGTTAAAGCAAAAGTAAGTAAGATTTGCATAAGAAGGAGAAGGTGCAACAGATCTCATTGTTTTGAGTCAACTCTTATTGCTACCCTCTACAGAAAGAAAAAAGTTTCACCTTTCCAACATTAGTAGCTATTCAAACCATGGGTACCTCCCTAAAAAAATTGTAGTTTTCCAGATGCTATGGTATTAGCAATCTACAATGAAAGGCAACATTTTTTGACACTCAGCACAGCTATAAACCCAGCATTGTGATTTACCAAACATTGTGTTTCTCACTGAAGAGAAGATGGCAAAGAAAAAGTGAATTGATTATAGGAAAATGCCTAAATAATTCATGAATTTTCCTGGAGGAAAGTGATACCGTAATCTACTTAAACGGAATAGTGCGTGGTAAAGTAAAACCATTGCTTTGTGAAAAGTCAAACTCAAATAGCAGCATGCTGAAAAATCCTCATAATGGCAAGAAAATAGTAGTGCAACATATTTATGCTCCCACTGCACAGAACAAACAACAAACCAACCTTTGCCCAGGCATTATATAAACCACCAACAATCTCAGACCTTATGTGAAGACTTAAAGAAACAAAACATGTTGTGCATGTTCATTTCTGCGGGGGGTACTTACTCTCTGCACAGCTGAACAATCTCCATATTAAGCTGATTAGCTCGATCCAACTGTTCTGCAGGACCAACGAAATAGAGTTAGTTAGTTAGCTGGGGCAAAAGATCAAATGCAGGAAGTAACTATTTCAGAAAAGATAAGCACCACTAGGCAGATGAATGCCAGCCTTTTCCAAGTCAAGACGTAAATGATGGGCTACTCTTTGAGCTTCTTCATTTAGCAAATGGGAATCCTGCTCAGCTTTTACCACCGCCATGTACAGGCAATGATTTGTATTAAGATGCTACATGACAGAGAAAAATTCACTTTGACTGATAAAAGAAATGAATCAAAAGAAACCATAAAATCTTCACAAATTAAAGAATTTTACATATCATAATTGCCAGCAGTCAAACAAAATAGGTATAATTTGTAACTATGTCACAAAACCAAAATTCTGCTTTATAGCCTTCGTGAAGAATATCATCAAGTAAGACGTACTTGTTCTGGCCTTCAATACCTTATACTTTTGTTGAACCTATCCAATGAATTCAATCATTCAAATCTTACAAAATTAGCTTAAACCTGCTCCCTGAGAATCAATATAAAAGACAATTGTACATCCTCTGCGTTGAGTTTTTCCTTTTGTGACTGATAGTAGGTAAAGAAGGAAAGGAATAGTTAACCCACATTATCTGCTGGCTCAATTAACTTAGTTGGTTTCATAATTAAGATCCGCTGTATTCTGGTTTGTTCATCTGATTGACATATAATCAGTTTGCTTATCCTAATTACAAACATAGAACTTGTAAAGATGGTAAGAGAGCAAATAAACCACTTGCCGCCTCACATGAATATATTCATTAATCCTCAGGGACGCCTCGCTTGCCTCCTCAACAAATTCCCTTAATTGCAAAGTGAACAGAAAATTTTTACAGACTAAGCAAAATAACAATAACAGTCACAAAACATCAATCCAAAATCAATACTGACCTGTCTGGATGTGTAGCTCTACAAAGTTCTGCAGAGTCAATAACTGAACATACCTAGGAAATATCAACTACTCCAGTTAGCTCCTGAAACTCAAAAGTCGTATAGACTAACACTAGCAATGAGAAAAATGTAGTTTTGGTACCCAAATTTTGACACGTGAGAAGTTTTACTCCCCAAATTTTGGACAGAAACAAATCTTGTACCCAAATTTTCAATATTTGAGCACATTTAGTACCCTTAGTGATTTTTTTCCAAATTGCTACTTAAAAGAGTAGCGCGATAGTCATATGTTCGGTAAATATTTTATAAAAAAATGTCACAAAAACGTAAAATATCTTTCTGACACTAAGGTGAAGATAAAATACAGCAAAAGAAGGAGAAAAGGAATAAGACGAGTAGAGTTGGGTAAGTGATTAAAGTTTTTAAAATATATTCTTAATGCTTAGTGTCAGAAGGATATTTTACGTTTCATTGGCATTTTTTTTATGCCAATAGTAATCGAACATGCGACTATCACTTGATTCTTTCCAGTAGCATGTTGGAAAAAAATCGTCAAGGGTTTAGTACCCAAATATTGAAAGTTTGGGTATCAGATTTATTTTTGTCCAAAATTTGGGGATTAAAACTGCTCTATGTGTCAAAATTTGAATACCAAAACTACATTTTTCTCCACTGGCAATTGTTAAACATACACGCTTCAATTATGGTCTTGACTACAAAAGCCTAGAAAATAATGAGAGAGAAGACGCCATAAACATTGAAATACACTTACTGTGTCGGATATCTCATCCATGGCTCCGATAATTTCCGGAGCAGATGGCATTCCAGAAATAAAGGTGACGAGCTCATTTGACCTGATAATATGCTTTAAGAATCATTTATTTACCAAAAAAATAGAAAAGAAATCAAGAATTTTCAGTTCTTTCTTATGCCAGTTTTGAGTTGGAAGTTATTTATAACCTTTCTATGGCGTCCTCAACAAAGCGTCGGAAGCCTTTGGGAGTTTTCAAGTGGTTGAAACCGTAGAGACCGGTTTCCTGCAGCAGTGGAGCTGTTGAAGTGTGGACCTTATGGGAGTTCAGCACATGGCCGTAGACGTAAGCCGCCAGTGAGCGGCGGCGGAAGAGGGTAAACATGCTCCCACGACAGAAAATGGTGATAGGAGTTGCTGCTGGGCCTGTGGGCCGCTAGCCCTCCGATCTCCTCCGTTTCCACGCTCTGTTTTGTGTGTGAACTGAAACCTTAACAACACGCTATTTACCGCCAGAATTAGCGGTGATCAAGCGGTAAGTATGTAAGCTGCGGGTCTTATATTGTGTGTGTGTGTGTGGATTAGGAAATGAGGTTACGGTATTCCTAAATCCAAAACGTTTCAGTGGTGTTCCTGGTTCAAATTTCTAGGAGTATGAAAGGAAAAACCTACAATTCATTGGATTTTAAAATCCACCACAAAGTGGCCTTAGTTGCAGTTTTTTGCCATTATGTTGATTTTTGGGTAAATTATTTATTATCCCTTGTAAATTTATATAATATTAGATGATACCCCTAAAGTTTTAAAATAATTACATAACCTCCCTATAATTTTATGTAAATTGAAAAATGAATGGAATGCATGATCAGTTACCGCAGTCAATTCAAATTATTTCTAAAAGCATGTTTGATAAAATTTTAATAATTATGTAACCTCCTTATATTTTGCATAAATATCTAATTTATCCGCTGTAATTTTTATATTTATTCACATATTTTCTCTATACTTTTATACAATGTAATTAAACTCTATTTTACATAATATCACATAGGGATGAATTGGACAACATGTGGCGGCTTAATTGGTTTTTTTCGATGAAGTCTCTACTCACATCGAACCCTCGTCCCCTCCTCTTAGATTAAGCTAGATTATGTTATAGAAATTCTACCGTTGCGACAAAAAAAATATGGGGATGAATTGGACATTTTGAAACGTTAAAAAGGTCATATGACAATATATGAAACTACAAAGGAATTATGTGTAATTTAGCCTTGATTTTTTTTTTATTTCTTATCATTTAATTTTTTTGAACCAAGTTCAAATAAATAAATATAAAATTGAATATTAATTAGATTGGTTCTATCTTTTAGTTCTAAGAGCATAATTAAGAATTATGGATGCTACCGGGTTTTTAATTTGTGATTGAGTAAGGTTACAATTGGAAAAATTTAGATATACGCCAAGACCGATGAAAAACATACCTAACATATTAATTTGGGTTGAAGAAAATATTCATGTTTGGATTGCAATTTTTCTTAAATTTTTGTAGAAAATATATTGTGCAATTTGATATATGTGAGATAAAAATAATTAAAAAATATGTTTACGAAAAATATAGAAATTTTTTTGGTGGAAAATGGCTTTTCAAATAAAGCCAACTTGATAATCATTAGGGATAATTTCATAAACCTCTCTTGAGGTTTTTAACAATCTCACTGCACTTCCCTGAGATTTTTAAAATATTAGAAACCTCCCTTATTAGGTCATTGGGGTCCAATTGTTACATCAATCATAGGGAAATGACTTAATTACCCACATAATTTAAAAAATATTCCGCAATTATATTCACATGATTAGTTAAATTGTTATTAACTAAGTTTAATATAAATAATGACAATTTATAAGTTTTTTTAAAAAATTTCTAATATACCATTACAAAGGAGGGGCAAATATAGCACATTTTTATGATTGATAATTGATGTGCATGAATCGAAGTAATGATTCAAACTTTAGTGATTTTTGTGAAATAAGAGAACTAGAGCTTCTCAAAGCATATCTAAGGATTTAGAAGATTTGAAGAGGAAATTTGCTCTCAAAATTTTGGTGATTGTGAAAATCTCAAGATTAGCCTTTAAAATTTTTTAGCTCTTAGATTTAGAAAATTTTTATTATTTGATTGCAGATGTTAAGATAATTATTGATGGTTATGTTTAATAGTGACACTACAAAAAAAAAAAAAACTTTGATCAAACAAAAAAATGGAAAATATAACATTATGTAGTTTGTATTACGTTTTATATGATGTGCTCCATTTGATAATTAGTATTTAATTATAGTTTTTTTCCTTTTATTATAATTGTTACTTTTATTGTCATGGAAAACAGATATTGGTGTTATATAAAATATAGGTAAAGATTGTTAGTTGTATGATATTAAATTGAAAAACTTGTTAATGATGGCAATTTTTTTCTTGTACGTAATTATTCAACAAATGCTCTTTTTTAAACCGAAATGTTGTCTGTAGCGGGGTTTACAGGCTTTTTGTTTCTCTTGAAGCAAATTATGCAACTAATATGTTATAATAGATGTAATAATATGATATTACACATGAAATATGTAGATGAGATTTTGAGTTGTTAAACTTGTTGTAGAGTTAGAAAGTTGACCTTTTATTTACATTTTATGAATGCAATAATAGTTACACAATCTTGAAGTTGAAGCCTTACTTTTGTATGCAATTTCACTTCCACCCCCTTGCATCTGATAAAATAAAAAATATATATACATAGATTTTGTTCATAGTAAATTAATTACCTAATGCAAAATTTGAGGGTAGTTATGGAATAAAATTGTATTTTCTCTCCTAATACTAATTTTATATTGTTTTTGTATTTGAATTGGGCTGATTTGTTACTAGCTTATTAGTTTTAGGGGAGGTTTTTGATATTTTGAAAACCACGAGGGAGGGTAGTGAGAATGTTAGAAACCTTAGGGGAGGTTTCTGAAATTATCCCTAATTATTACTTGTTAAATTGATCAAGTGTATACTGTATAGTTGTTGTAGTGGGAAGCACGTTGGTTGCTAAATTAACCGTCTGTCCAATTTTGAACACATCCTCCGAGTCGTCCTCATAAGCCCCCCGGTTCCCGCGAAAACCTCTCTCCCTCTTTCCTCTGCTCCCAATTCCGAATCTCCCCTTCCCTTCCATAATTCATATCTCAATCTCTTTAAAACCATCTCTATCCCAAGATTTTGTTGCTCGATTGCTCTATTCTCTTAAAGCAATACTCATCTCCAGTTCTCCAGTATGATGAATTGGTGATCATTTTATACGATCACCGACTCACACATTACAGTTACCAATTCAAAAAATGTCGACTGCAGATAATCCGGACCCCAGAAAACCTTCCAACTCCAAGACCACCGCCAATTGTTCGACATCTGACCCGAATGACTCCCCGCTGTCGCCCTCGATCTCCAAGCTAAGAAAGATTCCTCCCATCCCCCTCCGCCATAGAGTTGAAACTGCAGATGATGATGATGGTGATGATGACCACCATGAAATTGACGAGTCTACAAGTGAAGACGACGACGATTCACCAGTTATTGAGGCTTCGATTCTGGGCCTCAATCACATACGAACCCGCTCCGCTCCGCTGCCTCTTAAGTCCTTGAATTCGATTGAGACGCCTTCCAGTTCAGGCCGTCATCCCCAAAACGACAAGAGCAACAATGAGGGATCACACAACGAAGTTGATCCCAGACCTAAAATTTCACCAGTTCCTCAACAGTCTACATCAACATCCACAGAGCCAGAGCATGGTCTGCTTTATTATTTTATTTCTTTTAATACGCTCGCACTGAATCAGTTCCAGTCACTTAATTTGTTTCGTCATTTATATTGAGCTTAAATGGTCCAATTAACTTATTTATTTGGTTTGTTAACTACATGCCCTATCTTGAATACTAAATCGGACTGTCATTTGCAATACCGTGTTTCTGATTCTTGTGTGTTATTTGTAGAGAAAAGAGTTCACTGGAGTCAATCGAAATCTCTTAGGGCTCCATCACCTTGCAGGTCAGGGGTAGAGGTGATGACAGTCTATGCAGCTCCTTTTCCTGCCTTAATTTTCTTTGATTTTGTTATTTTCATGGTTTGAGTCAAGGACGTTGAGTAAAATTAGGTAGTTCAGCTCATGGGATTATGCTCTTTGCAGAGTCATCATGCAGCCTTTGCCAAAGAAATGCAATCCCCACGATTCCAGGCTATATTGCGTCTTACAAGTGGTCGTAGGAAAAGAGTGCCAGATATCAAGAGCTTCTCCCATGAATTGAATTCGAAAGGAGTCCGAGCATTGCCATTTTGGAAATCACGCGCATTTGGGCGCATGGAAGTATGTTTACCTGTCTTATTAGTAGCTGGTCGTGTTTTCTCATTTCAATCTTCCACTTCTTCGTGTTTTTGTCCTTTTTTCCTCTTCCCCAGCATTGCTTGCTCTCGAATTTTCATGTTTAACTCCAAAGATTATCAAAACTCGATGTTTCTTTTGCAGGAAATCATGGTACTGATTCGAGCAAAATTTGATAAGTTAAAGGAAGAAGTTAACTCTGATTTGGGTATTTTTGCTGGAGATTTGGTTGGCATACTTGAGAATGCGTCAGACTCTCAACCTGAATGGAAAGAAGGTTTGGAAGATTTATTGGTAGTTGCCAGGCAATGTGCAAAGATGTCACCCAATGAATTTTGGCTGAAGTGTGAAGGCATTGTTCAGAAATTAGATGATCGCCGGCAAGAGCTTCTGATGGGAAAGTTGAAACAATTCCATACCCGCCTTTTGTTCATACTCACTCGTTGTACTCGGCTTGTGCAGTTTCAAAAAGAAAGTGGCTATGAAGAAGACCACATTCTTGCTGCTCACCAGCTTAGTGATCTTGGGGTCTATCCAGAACGACTTTTTGGGGGTGTCAACCAAGAGATAAGTAGCATAAACAGGCAATCTGACAAAGCAATTGTACATGACAAGGAAGAACTGAGCACTGAGCATGATCAGGTAGATGAATTTTGTGGCAGTAAAATAGAAAATCTGGAGGTTAGTACAGCCAAAAGTGTTGCTTCTTCTACTGGAAGCTATAGAATGTCATCATGGAAGAAGCTTCCATCTGCAGCAGAAAAAAACCGCAAAGTCCAGGGTTCTGTTGACTCCACTCCCAAGGAGAAGTCTGATCACCTACAACATAGAGAAGAAACAGATAGTTTGGAAAATCCTGACATTCGAGTCATTCATCCTGAACAATCAGACGAATCCCTGAAAGGACAAAAAGTGACTTGTGTAGACTGGGATCAACAAAACCTAACCTATGAAGATTCATTCATCTGCCGCATATGTGAGGTGGAAATACCAACTGTTCATGTAGAACAGCACTCAAGAATATGCACTATTGCTGATAGATGTGATTTAAAAGGTTTAACAGCGAATGAAAGACTTGTAAGAGTTGCTGAAACTCTTGAAAGAATACTGGAATCATGGACACCGAAAAGCACAGAAGCTGGGGTGGGAAGCCCTCATGTTCTAGAAGTTTCTACTTCGAGTATGCCAGAAGAGTTGGACCCCTTGTCACCAAAGCAGAACCACTTAA